GTAAGTAACCTTTCGAAAGAGGTGCGTTAGATTAGGCTGAGGGCTTGGTAAGGCTTCGGGTTACTTAGGTTACAAGTATCCGGAACGGTTTGGTCACGTGAGCAAGAGGTACAACGAATAACGATTTATAATTTATGGTTTGGGGAGTGTGTTAGTGAAGCAATGCTATTGGGTCACGTGGATAAGAGGTTAAACGAACAACTTATTATAAGTTAACTTTACTGAAGGACTTAAGGTAGTAGTGTTATTGTATTAATGTGAGCGATTTATTTAATAAAATTGGGACCTTATTATTTTTAATGAAGCAAAGACGAGACTTAATTTTCTCGGGGCAATTAGGCCCTTTATTTATAATAACTTTTAATTATGACTTATTTTTCTAAATAAATTTCGCTTTTACATTTTATTTATTTAATTAAATTTTTCTAATTTATTAATTCAAACTATTTTAATCACTAAACCCCCTCAGAATTGCTATCAGAATCACCAGTAGAAGATCGAAGTTGAGATTGAGAGTTAAATTGTTGATCTTCATACCCGCAGCAAACGTTATCAACCGCAGCTTATCTGGATCACGTTATTCAGTCCTCACAATATACTGAGTCCAATAAATAGTGCTATTTGATTAGTTATTAAAATTACAAGAGATTATCATAAATTTTTTTTTTTTTTTTTTTTTTTTTTTTTTTTTTTTTTTTCCCCCGAGTCAGAACATCGGAGATCGTCGTGAGACGCAATTTATTAGACTTTATTGTATATTACATCATATGGGTACTGTACAATTGTTTTGGGCTATATACATAAAATTGAGGTCATATAAGTGGTATTGTCATAGATGACTAATTATGAAGTTACTTGTGTGCATCGTAAATTTGTTTTAAGAAGTCTTTTCCTCTTTTTTTAAAAGAACTTCCTTGTAAAGTATGCAATTCTCTCAGAATTCGATCTCTCCAAAGCGTGGGAAGTAATGGTTTGTATAATTGGTTTCTTCCCCACTTTACGTTGGTAAAGCTACACCAGATTTCATATATCACGTTCATGTGTATCCATATTATAACATCGTGACACAGCGATAATTTTACACAATTTGCTGTGATTATTTTCTCAAGTGTGGTGGGACGGTTATCTGATGGGATTTTGAAAAATTCATATGCAATAGCCCATATTCTACTACTAATTCAGCACTCCAGCGCAAAGTGCGATAATGTTTGTTCTTCCGGGCACCAGGGGCAGTTAATATCTTGCTCTGATGCGACGTATGCTAACCTTTTACCTATTGGTAAGGAGTTGTGAATTAGGCGCCAGAAGATATCTTTCTTTTGGTTAGCAATCCCTTCAAGCTTGGACCAGGCCCAATTTTCTTTTTTTGTATTGTCGCTAAATATATTTATCTGGGATAAAGTTTGTTTGATTGAGAATTGCCTTAAGAATTCGGTTGCGTGTGATACGGAGAAGTCACTTCCCTTTTTATTCATAATTTCTAAAGAACCTATGTCCCAAGGCCAATTTTTAACTGATTCTAGAACCCTTCCTTATAGCCTTTTCCAAGCCTTAAGGTAAGGTTTCCATTCAAATGGCCAGGCTTTGAGTCTGATCTGTGATTCTGTGAGCACTGCTAAGACAGTTTTTTTGCGTTTAGTGAGGAGCCTAGTTTCAATTCTGTTTCTTTCTATTACGGCCCATAGGTTGGAGCTTGTAAGTAGCTTGATCCAGATTGATGCTAGTCTTGCGTCGATCATATCAGCAAGCACTGGGGCCTTTAGACCGTTGAGTTCTTGGGATTGTTGAAAGATGGCGTACCTTGGCAACATTTTTGATTTGTTTTTAACCCAAGTAGAGACTATTGTGTTAATTTCAAATAATTGTTTTTTTGACGGAGGTAGAATGGTTGCTGCGTACCAGATCCTGGACAACAATAAAGACTTGGCCACAAGAATTCTATCTTTGAGCAAAAGATTGCGATTATTCATTGAATCTGCTATTTTCTTAATGTTTTGTGTCAAATTTTGCCAAAGAGTTTTTTCTGGGAGACCTTTATTGTTGATTTTAAACCTGAGAATTTTAATCGTGCCGTTTTCTTCTAATTTTGAGAACTCTTTCTCCCCAGGTAAGTTTAATATTGCTGCAATATTTGTTAGAGGCATCAATGTAGACTTTGACTTGTTTATCGAAGCATTGGAGGCTGCTTCGTAGCTTTTTAGCAGCTGCCTCAAAATATTCCAATCATTGAGTGAGCTTAGACCTACTGTTAAGTCATCCGCGTAAGCTGTGGCTTTAAAACTGAAACGTTCTATTGTTATGCCGGACATCTCTTCCTTTATAGCTTTTAGTAGAGGTTCAAAACCTAGGATATAGAGAAGTGGCGAGAGAGGGTCCCCTTGCCTTACACCCCTCTCTATGTCGAATGGGGTAGATAGTCGACCTAAGTCATATATATGTGCAATCTGATAATCAAAAAGATTCTTGATTATATTTATGAAAGAATCTTTGAATTCTATTTTCTTTAATACCAGGCATAAATAGTCATGGTTTATTCTATCAAATGCCTTTTTCTGATCTAAAAAAAGGAGCCAGGCATGTTCATTTGAGTCAGTGAGGTTTCTCATTGTCGTAATTATGTCAAGAGCAGAGTCAAAGATCGACCTGCCAGAGATAAACCCCTGCTGGTGGTTACCAATAATATCCGCACAAATAGTGTTCAGTCTTATCGAGAGAATTTTCATGAAAATTTTGGCGTCGGAATTAACTAATGCTATAGGTCTCCAATTGTCTAAGTTTTCTAGGGCCTCTGTTTTTTTGGGTATTAATGTGATTAAACTTTTGCACCAAGATCTAGGAACTGATCCTGTGGTTAAAGCAATATTGAAAATATTTTTCAGAACGGTAGCAATTTCACCTTTAAAAGTCTTATAGAATTCGTATGTTAGACCGTCTTAGCCAGGTGATTTATTTCTAGGTAAGCTATTTATCACTACTTCTATTTCTTCTAAGGTGATCTCTTTTGTAAGCATTTTGTTGTGGAGTTGTGAAACTTTAGGCAAATTATTAGTAATGTTTTCTGCAATGTTTAAATCTATTGGCTCTTTTTTGAATAAGGATTCATATTGATTCCTTATGAAACCTAGGATTTCGCAGGGATCTTTTATTTCGGGAGCAGACGGGTCTCTTATTTCAGCAGTTGCATTGTAGGAATGTCTAAATTTGTATCTGTCAAAGAAATATTTCGTCGATTTTTCACCCTTTTCAATTCATCTTGTCTTTGATCTGATTTGCCAGGAGAGTGCTTGAGTTGTTAATTCCTCCTGCAGTTCAGAGTTTAGGCGGGTGATAGCAATGTCTAGATCTACTAAAGTTGGGTTTCTTGCCAGTCTGTTTTTTAGTTCTGTAATCTTTTTGTTTATTTTCTTTCTCTTCTTTTTTGTATGTTACCGTGGTGAAGCCATCTTCTGTCACTTCTTGAAAGTCTGTTGCCTCTCTTTTTGGTGTTGAGTTTCGAATATCATCATCAATCATAGATGAAAGAGTTTCCTCATAATTAGGAGTTTCCTCCAAAAGGTCTAATTCATCAGAGGATTCTAATGTCATTTCTGCATCCTTTTTCGTATTAGACTGAACTCCTGTTTTTTCTGTTGAAGTATTAACACATTCTGTCATATCCATATTGTTACCTTCATCTTTGTTCAGTGTTTGTGGTAGTTCCCGATTTTGTTCTGGTGTCCTTGAATCCTGCGTCGAGTTTTCTGCCTCATTTTCTGTGGGTGAGGTATTATCACTGTTGCTTATAGTTTCTTTGTGTTGCCTTACGGATTCTTTGTACTTTTTGAAGGATTGGTTGAGTTTCATTGCTTCTTTTCTCTGAGTACAGTCTTTTTTAAGATGCCCAGCTTCGTCACAGAAGTAACAAAGCTTAGGTGCTTCTTTCCACTCTGTAGTTATCTTTCGATCTGAAATACAAACAATTCTGGGTATTCTTTCCTAGATATTAGTGTCGTCAGTCGTCTCAAATACCACTAGCCACTGGTCTGAGAGAATTGGTGTACCCTCATATAGTAAAGGTTTAATTGAGACAATTTTGCCAACTTGTTCAAGTGTTTTTCTTATTTCCTCTGAGATTAGCTTTTTGTTTGCTATTGGTAAATTTCGGAGCTTGACTGTTAGAAATGTTCACCGAGATCTAGTAGAAATATATCTGAAAAACGTTTGATTGAACATTGTAATACCCTTTTCAACATATTTTTCCATTGTTTGAACGTCTTTAAAAATTAATTCTAGGTGTGTGCGAACTCCTTTTAAAAAATGTGGTTTCACTCCTAAGAGGTCTGATCCTA